TCTGTAGAATTTATTATTTTCTGAACTGTATCCAAAAGCTGAACTTTTTAAACAGGAAAATGTCTTTCTGATAGATGTAAAATCCATTTCACTAAGACTGATTCATCTTTTATGGTTAAAATTGTAAAAAGGTCCATAGAACAAAATAATGGTGACTTTCAATCTCTCTTATGCCTCAAAGTACTATGAGGAACTCCATGAATTTTTGCTGCCGTAACTGCTGGGATTCCCTTTTTCACATTCTCTAGGGCTTTGGCCAATTGCTCTTTCGAATAATTCCCTTTAGGTGCCATTTCTGTAATGAATAAAATACTTGTAATACCAAATATTAATGTAACCAATGATTGCCACTTTAGAACCAGTGATTGCCACCACTGGCAATAATTGGTAAAAGTAAAGTTTTCGTAATAAAAAAAATAGTGGCAACACCGTAATTTTAAATAGTAAATGTACACATTATAATGAATTAAAAATAAGCCAAACCAATAATGGCCACTTGTGGCAATGACTGGTATTCATAAAATATTTTGTAACCAGTCATTGCCATGTACATTTCTTTAGAAATATGTACCCTTAACTGAATTTAAACAGCAAACAAATGTAGTCTAGCGTATTTAAGAGGAGCACATGTGTAAATAATATTATAAAACAATCATTTACAAAAGTGAATAAGAAAAAGAAAAATGTACTTACCTTAATTTTTTCATAAGAAATCACAAAAAATAGGAAGAAATTTTACACAACACTATTCTAAGGGGTATACAACAAAAATGGTTGATGCTTGGGTATTGTACAACAGTATACAGTTGCCAAACTTAATAAGGTATTAGTACTTGCAAAAAATATAATTTGATTTCAAGTAATTTTCTTATTTTCTTAGAATTTAAGGGTCAGTGGCAATAATTGGTAGAGTGGCAAGGACTGGTTGTTTACCTTAGACATCGTTTGAGGTCACATTAGGGGTTGGTACATTTTTTTGGTTAGTTTATGGTTATGGTTTCGATATCAATTGCTTTTGACGACAATTTTCGATATTTTCTTTTTACAGAATAAAATTTTTCATTTCTCGCAAGATAAAGTTGTTTCTCGTTGTTTTTTCTTGTAGTTTCTCTAAGCTTCGGGTTTTTGTTGCGTTCTGCACATACGATGACCTCAATATAACAATTGGTGTCATTCTGATGGGGGAGAGAATGATATTCTGTTCAATCTAGAACTCGCTGGTTTCACCCTTTCGGATTGGATATGTATATTCAAACAAAGCAAAGAAATGAAAGCCAGTGGACTATATAAAACTGTATATATAACATAACCAAATGTACAATTACAACTAAAGAAGAATATATACGAACTTAAATATTAGTTAATATGAAACACCAAAAAATAACCATAACCCAAACAAAAGATGTCTATGAATAGATTTTAAGAACACATTAACAACAAAGGAATTTAAGATTTCGATTGCTATGGTTGAGTATGATTAGAACTGACGCATAAATTGATATTAGACGTTAATTAGTGAAAAATATGCGCACATATTTGATGACACTCAATCTTGTTGATAAAAGTTACACCAAATGCAATCACACATACATATATGAATTATATTAAACGTAATATAAATATTAATACAAAACATACATGAACTATAAATCGGTGTTAACGGAATACAATGTAGAATACAGTAAATACGCTAAAATAAATGTTTATGTATACGTAAAATGTTCTTTTAACAATGTTCTACCGCGATCACGGCACAAATGAGCTAATGGTTCTAAGCAAATAAGAAAATCTATATACCAAGTAACGTACTTATATATGCAGAAACATAGATAAATGGTGTATTGTACTTTACCCCATGAAAAGATAGCACCTCGGCTATCGCAAAAGATGTCTTTACCAACGAACAACAGAAACCACAAATTTTATAATGCACATTATTTGACGTCTCTCGCGGTCGACAGACCGATACAAAGTTTTCAGGTACTCTTAACCCAAACGCACATACACATCCGGATGGTTTGAGAGATAAAACTCGACTCTGATTGTGTATGAAATGTATCCCTTATGGTGATATTTCGCAAATGGCTGGTCTTGTGAATTAGTTCCTAAAGCCGCTGTGTTTTTTGTACAGGCAAATCTCAGTTTAAATATACGGGGAGAATGGAAACTATCAAAAAGTCTGTTAATACATTACAAATGTTTAGACACAGTTGCAAAACAATATTCATCACTGCTGGCATCTAAGATACAGTGCTAGTTGAGGCTAGTGAATCTCGAATTCTTTGCACGCGGAAAGCAGAAATTCCATAATTGTATAAAAATGCTTTGAAACACTTGCACATCACGGTCTCCATCAGGGCCACTCCTAACACGATAGGAATAAGAAGCAAGATTAGGTGTCACTGTACCCACTCGAATTCGTCGACGCATAACTGGGAGAACGGTTATAAGACCACCTAAATACCGATTCCGATCGTCGTAGTTAGCAAGTTCATTGAATTGGGTCAAAATACGTCGCCTTTCGGTTTCATTAATGTTCCTAAAACAAGGAAAACGATGGCACTTGCAATCTGGCCCTACCTCATGAGTGGTGGCTCTCAGAAGTTTGATAACATCATGAACACGGCCTGTTTTTCCTCTTTTTTAGCAGCAGTCCCCACATCTACATCACTACAATCGCTATCACTACTTTCCATTTAAATCAGTATGTACTCACTACTTTACTACTGTTCAAATAGAATCAACTGGCAAACTAGAACACACCAACGAAGTCGTTAAACTAAGAAAGAGAATCACAGAAATGCTACACCTGACCCGTCCTATTAAGACAGAGGGGGTGCTTCCGGACCCTGACGGTTATTCCCTGACAGTGCACGGACTATTATGGTTCTTCCCCAGTACACCGTTGCATTAAACATTTGTAGTAAAAGTACTGTAAATGTTTTTCGCTTTTACTCCCCACCATCCGAAAGTAATATGTATTCATCACTAGAAAACTTCGTCACCTCAACTTCGACCAAAAGTGGACTATGCTGTTTTTTTCCCCTGACTCCTTATTTGGTCTGACTTCCCTGAAAATTATATGGTAGGTACCTATATGTTTGATGTGAAGATAGTATTGATGATAGCGGTCAAACTGTGTAATGTGTGGAGTATGTATTAGTCAATATATGGTAGGGTAAGATGTTGTTGGAGTGTTTATTTTAAATAGTAATTAAATTGTAATATTAAACGTTTATTGGATTTTGAAAAATTGGTTATATTGGAAACAAAGGTTAGTTAAAGTTCAGGGTCTGAAAGTATGTGTTTAACACTATAGTCAGTTGTAGTTATGAAAGCTGGTTGATTGTAAATGTAGGTGGTAATAAGGCCCTTTATGTAGAAAGATAGAATACCTAAAAAGAATTTGTGTGTTGATTGGATGTACAGTTAATTTGTAGTTGAATGTTATGGAATTTATTGTTAACTGATTTATGTAAGGCTAATTGCATTATAAAAAAAGCAAACAAAATTGAAGTCTGAAAAAGCACTTCCACAAAAGTGGAAATTGAAACGTCAATAAACTTATTCAACCTTTAATTGTGGCTTATTCCCATTTAAATAGCGATTACTAATGTTTGTATTTTGAGAACGATTTCTAAAGTGGAAATTGAAACGTCAATAAACTTACTTTAACCTTTAATTGTGGCTTATTCCCATTTAAATAGTAATGACTTTAAAATGCCACAAGAGAATAGCTTCAGAACAATATTCACATCTTGTCTTCACTTCTTCTCTAAACCATGGTGTTTTCTTTTTTGATGTTTGATTTTTGTTTATGTTGGCGCCGCTTTCTTGGCTGTGAAGTATTTTAGGATGATTCTTATTTTACATAATACTAGGCTATGGTCACAATGGTTTGCTACATCTGTTGAGTTGAGGCAGTATCTTTGTTGGTTATAACATAATCTATCATAGATCTTTGGCCGCGGGTATTAATAAATGTATATTTGTGTTTAAAAAAATGTGTTGTTTATTCTATTCTATCTGGTTTTAAAAGATTATTTTACCAGCTTTCGAGATCTGAACATTTTTTTAATTTGAAACTGATTCGGCTCTGAGCGCTAAAATTCTGGATTAATTGCTTTATTGCTCGCCAATGTGTATTAGTAATACCTAAAAAAACAAAAGTATTAATTCTTATTTATTTATTTTTTCAACTATATTAGATTGGAAACAAATTAATGTGAGTCGCTCGCGATGATCGATCCAAGATTGCTAGCACTCCGATAATTTTCGTAATATTTAGGACGGGAATAGATAGGTATATTATACCGATAATTTTTTTCTTGCCTGCGATCGACTGACATAGGGGCCGCGATCGACCAGTCGATCGCGATCGACGTGTTGGCCTCCCCTGCTATATGTGCTATGCCTGACCTTATTGTGGCTCAGTGTAGTGTGTTAAATAAGAAACGTCTATGTGACTCCCTAGACAAGAAGCGATTGTCCCAACTTTGCTCCGTTTGTTATTACTTATAGTCTACTCTATACGTTATATTCTAATATAGTAGGGTTGGATTGGTATGAATAAACATGTTTAAAATACTTTAATAATATCGAAACCCTTTTTTGCCTTAATCATGATGATAATGTGACTGGCTGAATGCGATGTCAAAAAAAATCTTCACTATATATTTGGTAATGATAAAAACAATTGAAACAACTAAATTAAATTAAAATTAATTGCAAATAAATATGTTTGAATTATTAACACTTCGTTTGCTTGCAAAGCAGACTCGATATTTTATTTTCAACCAGTGAGTGGGAGAATTACACTAATTAACTGCATTATAAAAAGTAAAATAAAGTTAACGTTATGGCACTTTTTAATACTTTTTTATTTTTATCTCTTTAACCTTAAACAGCCATTTTATGTAACCAAATCGTTAAAATGAAGGCTGCTTTATAATATAAAGAGAAAATAAAAATAATATTTTAACATTACTTTTTTGTTTCAGATCTGACCCAAAAGTCCCTTCACTTTCCTGTCCCCAAGAAAATTCAAATCACAAATATGGACGGGCGCCTTGAGCAGAATCGTTTGAACGATGATTCAAATTTACAGATTACCATTAGACTGATAATGCAAGGAAAGGTAAGTTACAAAATTCTTATATTTTTTGCAGAAAAATTTCATTTAATATGAAATTCTAGGTGGTTATTTACTGAAATAAATATTACGTTGAATTAAAGTATATATTTATAGCGTTTGAACAGTTTTGATATAACATTTTTATTTAAAAAATCCTTTATTAAAGGTATATATATATATATATATATATATATATATATATATATATATATATATATATATATTCTAAAAAAGACCCTTTCGGGCTACATCACATAACCTTTTAGGACTAACAATTTCATCATCAGTGCAGTTACGAGGTGTACATGAATGTCACTAAATATGTGGGTAAAAGCCCTTTAAATGATATTAAATTTGTTAATTATTACATCTTTGTTGATAAATTCATATGATGTTGAAGTTATTTATTTTTACGCACAACGGACCGTTAAGACCTAGGGCATTTTTTACAACATAATCCTAATGTTAACTAATTACAGTTATTTTAAACACAACTTTAACTTAAATGTGTATATATAACATTCTTAACTACTCTGAAGGACCTGGTATACAATATTTCTCCATTCGCTTCTATTTTGTGCTTTTATTTTCCAGTCCCTCACCTTCACATGTTTAAGGTGTTCCACCGCTTTACTAATCCACCTCGTTCCAGGTCTACCTCTTCTTTTGGGGCCGATTAATTTTCTGGTTATTACTAATTTAGGCATTCTGTTTGCTGCCATTCTTTCCACATGTCCCACCATCTGATTCTTTGTGCCTTGACGAGCTTGGTAATGGTAGGTTCTTTGTATAAAGCTATTAATTCATTGTTGGTTCTTCTCTCCCAACCATCTTCTGTCTTCCGTCCTCCGAAAAAGCGTCTCAATAGTTTCCTTTCCCGTCTTTCCAGAGTATCCTCTTCCTTCTTATTTAATGTCCATGTCTCACCGGCATATGTTACTGTGGGTCGAATTACTGTTTTATATATTCTGAGTTTACCTTGTCTAGAAACGTATTTTGAATTCAGTAGGGCTCTTAAACTACCTAATGTTTTATTCCCTGTTGCTATTCTGACTTCGAGCTCCCATTTCTCTTTTCCATTTTCATCGAAATCTACACCCAGGTATTCAATTTGTCCACTCTTTTAAAACTATAGCTTTTACCACTTACTGACCTCACACTAAAGTCTTCTTTTTTCCCTTCTGTCCCTCCCATGATCATATATTTGGTTTTGTCTTCATTTAGTTCCAACCCGAATTTCTGTGCTTCTTCGATGATTTTCTTCATAACTCTTCTTAATTCTTTCTCGGTTTTTGCTAGGATCGTTAGATCGTCAGCAAATGCTCATTGCTGACTGGTGCTCATTTTTGATGATCGTTTCTTCCAGTTCATGCTGCATTTTCTGATTTCAAGACTCCCTATTGAGGTTGCTGACCTTGATGTAGTGTCTCTATCGGTCCTAGCAGCAACAGGATAAACAACAATTTTTTTTACCACAAAGATCAACACAAATCTACATTCAATAACACCCATGGCCAAAAATTCATGATAGATTATGTAGATATACATAAATTCGAGCTGTTTCAACTCAGCAGATGCAGGTAGCGATTATAGTCTAGTATTATATAAGTATAAGAATCAAAATAAGAATCAGCATGAAATACAGCTTACCCAAGAACATGAACACATGCGTGAACATAAACACAAATCAGAGTCGAAGGACAAAATACGGAATACTTTCACAGAAAAAGGATATCAGAAAAGATATAACTTCCTTTAACTAATAATGAAAGAAATAATAGAAAGAAAGCATGATCCTGGCAGAAAACAAATAACGTGACTGTGTAACGTCAAGGATTGGATAGCTCTTTTCTTGTCAGAGAAGCACAGAATAAAGATGAATTTGTAGAAGTTATCACCAACCTCCATTAGAAACAGCAACTAAAGAAAAAGAGAAGATTTCTGAGATGAAATATTAGTAAACAATAACATCGAGGAATGCTGCGAAAAGTCAAAAATAACATAGTTAACGCAGCGACAGAAGCACTTAATGAGAAAAGTAATGAACACTAATATATCAAAAAAGAAAACCCCATGAAAGGAAGTGAAGACAAAATGTGAAGAAAAGAAGGAAGCCTTTTTACAACGAGAAAATTTACATTTTTTCGCAGATATAGTATTATCTGAAGCTTTGAAGACATAGGTGGGGGTTACTAGATGACGAATAGATGAAAAAGTACTCGCATTTTTAACTTGCGTTTTTTTTTTAACAATAATTTATGATCACAATTTAATTTTTTGTCTGTAAGTTTTTTCCCTTACATTTTAGTACAATATTTAGTATCATTTTTTTTTTTATATCAAGAATTACGTTGTACGTACAACGATTGGATAGCTGGTAAAAAAAGCTCACAATTAAAAAAATTTGAGGTAGGAACTTCAAATTGAAACACGTTAGAAAAATATACATTATCTTGGCTTCCATTGCAGCTAGAAGCCTCTTTTTTTTTAATCGGGGTCGCTCGGGAAAACTACATAGTTTTCACTGGCTGGGAAATATGGGAAACCTCGGAAAAATTGAGTCCAAGACTGCCTAATTTTTGCAAGACCAAGACTAACCGTGCAAGACTTGAGCAAGAACAAGACTAAGCCTGCGAGACTATTGCGTCTTGCAGTTAGGACTAAGTGTGGTTTTAGGCAGTATTCGGGTGTATGCTTAGAGACTGTATGAGACGCAAAGAAGTATTAACAAAAATTTGGAAAATTTGACTTGTGCATTACGAAAAATACCATAAACATACATAGCGAATCAAAATGTTCATTACAAGAACACTCAACAATTTGACAAATACTCAGAGGTCATAATTACAATTTAAAAATAAAATATTTGTACATTCTTTCCCAGCACACTACTTCTTTGCTCTGAAATTAATTGTCCAGATTTTGAAAATAGCCCCTTCTAATTATAAAATAATATCTTTGCTTTGCGACGCCTACAGTAATATCGTATCGAAACTTTTTAAAAATGTGTCACCTTAGCTGATAAAAAATATAATTAGGTTAGCATATTTTTTTCCTTATAATTTAGTTACGAGGAATTTAAATACCACAAATCTTATCGTCTTAAGACTAAACATTTTGTGCTGAGTATGCGATATCATTCAAAATTTGCTGAAAGAATGCGGCTACTGTTCAAAAGTAACGAGATAAACAAACAAAGAGATAATGCCGATTACAGTGTAAACAAAATACCCATATATTTAAAGTAACCAAGTCATAATAATTCTCGGTTTTTTATTCAGTACTTAGGGTATTTGATACTAACGAGTATAAAGTAACGAGTAGTTACTTTTTCGACATCACTACTTCATTATCAATCACGCTTTCCTTTTATATAGTCTAATGCAATAATTGTTTTTTATCTAATCCTTGTTGTTCTCGGTGATCAGTGAGAAGTTTACAATTTGACCTGAGTGACGAATTTAACATGAGTGATTCAAATACTTCTAGTCGGAGTAATGAGAGTTGGAGTCATAGATCTAAAAGTTATAAAAGCAAATTTGATAAGTTTTTGGTGGTCTCTTTATAATGCTTTAATAAGTGAATTATAGTTTTTTTATCTCACCTAAAAAATCTGTGCCCTTGATACATGTATGTGGATTTTTTGCCACATACCAGTCTTTTTTAAGTTTTTCATTTCATATATGATGGGAGGTCCATCAATCCCCTTCTAGGCAGATAATGTTCTTTAAAATACAGGCAAGTTTATGTCATTAATTTGTTTTTTTTTGTGTTTTAATCATGTTTCAGCACATGTAAGCCTATTAAATAATGCAAACGTTTATTAAGAAACAGATTGACTTCCGTGGGGCATGGTAGATAGCTGAGTTAATTAGAGCATAGGCACGGATCGCTTAGATCCGTGCCTATGCTTCAAACCCCACTCGGTGTCAGTTGTTTAGACATTTATTAATTTGGTTGGTCTTTATTATGGCTATGGTTATTCAAGCTTAAAATGTACTTGCTCTGTTACGTTGTTCTATGATCTAAACTAACGTTTAATAAATAGCAATAGGCTAATAGGTAACTGCAAGACTTGCAAGACTCTTGCTGCAAGACCAAGACCGGGAGTGCAATACCAAGACCAAGACCAGGTGTATTGGCGCAAGACCAAGACTGTCTAAGTCTCGTCTTGGTCTTGCATTTGGGCAACACTAATGTAGTTATTCATTTTTCAACGAACTACCCCAGATTAAAAAAAAGAGGCTTCTAGATACAATGGAAGACGAGATAATGTAAATTTTTCCTACGTGTTTTAATTTAAAGTTGCGATCTCGAAAAAAAAAAAACAGCTGAAACAGTTATCCTCTCCACTTTCCTATGTCGATCTTTCGAAAGTACCTTCGTTTCGAAGTGCTGTAAGTTTCGAAAAATTAGATGAATTTAAGTTTCAATATAAAGTTTAGATTTTCATTCAAAATTTGTGTAAATTTTACTTCTTAATAATGGAGATATGATTTTTTTTTAAATAGTCCCTAACTTAGTTCCTATTAGTCATAGAAGGTTTTTTTAAATTGAGTTTTTTTACCAGTTATCCAATGGTTGTACATACAAGTTTGTAGCTTGAAAAATATAGAAGTTATTACAATTGTTTATAAGTAAAAAACATCCCTTTTTCAAACGTTTGTTTTGTAAATAATTTCGATGAAAACGCAATATGCATTTAACTTCTGAGATTGAGTCTGAGTTTAAGTCTTAAAGAAGCTAAATTTGCTAAATGTGTCTAGCATCAATAGTAGAGCAAGTTTCTAAAGTTTAAATATTTAGCCGCAGGGATAAAAATAAATTAAATTAAATAACTTTTAAACTATTTGACCGATCGGGGGAAAATTTCGCACAAATTCAAAAGACGGTTATTCCTCGATGTTCAAAAGTATTAATACTATTTTATTTTGTTAATAAAAAAATAATAAAATTTATTAAATATAAATAAATTATTATTTATATATAAATAATATATATAT